ATATATAAAACGCAGAAATAAAAGCGTAAATAAAATGCACACCGATTTTATACTGGTTCGGGAAACCCCTACTCCAATACCTCGAGGCTCCTCCTCAAGGATTTCCGAATCCATTAAGTCCCGGTCTCTTGAACTCCGTCAAAGCACCGCACTAGTTTCGGCAAACAACCCTTGCCAATAGGATTCACTCCGAGATTTCACAACGGCTATCTCGAACCGTTTACAACAAAGATTTTAACGGCTATCTTCTACCGTTCCCCCAAGGATTTCAAAGGTTATCCTTGAACCTTTACCCAAGGATTTATACGGCTATCCTTGACCGTTACAATGTGAGAATTTAACGGCTATTCTTGACCGTAAGAAGGTGTGTTTGAATAACACAAAAGAAGATTCTACACAACGGCTAGAATATTAAAATGAAGAACAAAACTTAGCCGGTGTAGAAGGAAAGTATACTCTCTCAAAAATACAATTCAAACTTATGAATATGAGAATATATAACTAGAAACACAAGCTCAAAGTGTGTGTATAAAAATCAAGAATTTAAGGCTCTTAAAATAGCCAAAATATTGAAAATAATTAATAAAAGGATGAACACACTTAGAATAAAAAGAGAGGATGTTTAGAGCTTTGTTTCTTCAAGAAATATGAAGGATTAGACTTGTATTTATAGTGGAAGACTTTAATTAGCCGTTGGGAGGTGATTAGGATTGATTTAATTCAAAATCACAAATCAGGAAGAGTAACCCAACGGTCACGGTAGGTCGGTACCGTTCACACGGTAGCATGGTACCGTGCGTACGGTAGGGGGGTACCGTGAGTGGCGGTACCTCGGTACCGTGTAACACCAAATATCCATTTGGCTCTGGCGGTACCTGGTTAGGACGGGTAAGGCCAACCGTCTACGCCTACCATCCGGTACCTAGGTACCGTTACACGGTATGGGGGTACCGTGTAGGCGGTATACCCTACCGTTTGGGGTACCGCTAGGGGTACCGTGCCACTGTCCTGATTTTTCCAAAATTCCCTTAATTCTTCGTGTTTGAGTTTAAAACCTTTTAGATGTTTGAAAATGTTTATGGGATGGTTTTAAACATATTTTGTGAGTGTTTTTAAGCTTGTGAACATAGGTATATAAAGTCATATCCTTACATCGGTTTCTACCTATATTCTACGCTAGTTTAGTGTTTCGACTTCGTTTTTGAGTACCGAATCTTAATGGATTCTTGTTTTACCCGAAACACTTAAACAAACGTTAAGCTTTTATATTGTTTGTTACATCAAAACATGAGGCTTAGCAAACCAAAGCTAACAAATTAGACCATTGATATGATTAATTACTGTAAACATTCCATCCATATAATAGGAGCAAGATTGTGCATATACCTGACAAAATTTTTAGCATCTCTGAGCATGATTTGTGCAACAACAAACATCCATGATTCTTAAATATGACAAAAGTTGCACTATCCGATGAATCATTTACCCTCGTCATAATGCAATACCTGTGCATGACCATTCCACAATTTTAAAATTTAAATCTCAAAGCTACTTTAAAAGTCAGTGCTTGTTGTTGTAATATATTTTTCAAACCTTGGGATCACATTCACAACTCGCTTATCACAAACATTGCAAAAGTAAGAACAATTCCTTGGAACCACCTCAAACCCACACCTACATGTTGGTATAAACCAATCTGATCCACCATCAACACCCTTGATTGTGCCGTAAACTACATAATCACCATCCTAAACGTAGGAAAATAAGACAATTATAGTCCGTAATTAACTTTCACATGCCATTGATCATTACTTATTTAAGAAAATATGATAAACTAACCTCAGTACAATCCTTCAAGACTTCAATTCTCTTTGCTTGAGAAATGTTTAAGATTTTATGTGAAAAAATGTAACTATATTTCTTTTCTAATTTTTTTGAAAATAGATTCACTTGATAATTCAAGTAAAACTTAACTATAGAATAAATGTGAGTGTTTTTAAGTTTTACAAAAATAAATGTTCGGGAAATATATGAAATGCGACTATAATTGTTTTTATTTTAGAACATAAATTTATTTGATTTTTAGAAATTTATTTTTTTATGAAATTATTTGATATTATATGAATTGAAATATAAAGATTTTTAATAGTTTTTACTAATATATTTTAAGAAATCCCATGGGTTAAACGTTTTACTCAAAAAATGAACTGGATGGTTAACAAATGCAGCTACTAATTCTTAAGATAAACCCTATGAAAGCCACGAAAAAAATATACACCGTATTAATTTTGTCACTATGAGTGCTTTCTTCATCTTGAATTATTTTGTTAGACACGAAAAATATTTTGTTAGTCACAAATATGAATTTGAAAGTTTAAGAAAGTATTATTTGATTATAAATAATTTAGAAAATAAATTTTAAATTTCACTGATTATTTTAAATTTTATACTATTATTTTAAATTATTTCTGAAGTTGAATTTATAAAATTTTTAATCAAAATTATGAATTTTAGTTTTCACTCATTGCATAAAATTTCACGAAGGTTCTAAATTCTTCTATAATACACCCTCTGTGTTTGAATTTAGTCTTCTCATTTGACTTTTCTTGGTCAATTTTGTATACTTTAACCTTGATATATAGAACATTGTCTTTCGTTAGAAATGTATAACCAATATTTTCCTTTTGAAACTAATGAATCTCTTCATGTCTGGTAGCTCCTATTTTAGAGATAAAAAATATGCATTTTTATTTTAGTACTTTCTCCATGTTTTATTCTTATTATGGCACAGAGTATTTTTTTCAAAAAATCATAGCGGCACTTTGTACATAAGGTATATACTCCATATACAACTTAAATTGGATCTACCCATATTTTGATTAAAATTGCCACGTCATTCAAGAAGTTAATAGGTGGCGAGTGATTTGTTAAAATGTTCTCATGTACACTCGTCACTTGTCGCAATTTTAAGAGTTTAAGTCTCAAATTTAATATATCAAATTTAATATACAAATCCTTCTATTTTTATTGAAGTAAAGTGAATATTCCAAAAAAGGTAATTATAGCCAATTGGGATGACCAATTAAAGAGGTATTAATGTTGCAATTTAAAAAGTCAATATAGTTTGTTAATTAAAGAAATTTTGAGGAAAAAAGGAAATTGAATTTCAGAATTTCCATTCATAAGGAAAGGACAAAAAAAAGTGTCTTTAATATTGGTAAACTTATATTTATAGAAATTAAATTTAAAAAATAGGTAAAATATTGAGAAATAAACGCTCCGAACAATATTGTTTGTTAATTAAAGCAATTTTGAGGGTAAAAAGGGAATTTAATTTCCGTTCATAAGGAAAGCACCATAAAAATCATCTTTAATATTGGTAAGCTTATATTTATAGAAATTAAATTTAAAAAATGGGTAAAATACTGAGGGAAAAAATTCCAGTCAAGTTTTTTATTTTTGAAATTAAATCTAAAAACCCAATATTTTTATCCCCTTAAAACGATTTTGAAGAAGAATAGAAAATAAATTTTTTAAAAAAAATTCAAGGATGTCCAATTAAAAATCGAATCTAATTTGGATAAGTTTTTAATTATAGAAATTGAATAAAAAATTAGGTGGAATGATTGAACACCATAGCCATGACACTTTTGATTGAAGATATCATGCAGATTTAGTTTATTGAAACCTAAGTACAAATGGCGATGGAAGCTAACCTGAAGGAGACGGGTGATGAAGGCCATCGTCATCGACATCGCATCTGTTTAGATATTCGATCTATGAATTGGAGATAAGAATGTGAGACATTGATATTAACTCTGAATAAAATATTTCATAGATCGTGTAAACCAAAAGCACTGAATTGGAGAGGAAAGCATTTACTTTGGAAGTCCAAAAGCACCAGATAAACTATTTCAATTCCTTTAGTTTTCTCACTTAGATTACGTGTAATCTAACTGTGTAAAAATGATCCACATGTGCATGACAAATGTCAAGCTCTGGTGCATTGAGTCACCTTTATTATAATAAAGGATTTGATTTCAATTAAACTTATAATTATTACAAGAAATTTAAGAATTTTGAAGTATTACAATTCATACATACATAGAAAAAAGTAAAATCAGAAAATCATTGACAATAACTAATCATTAATATATTTAAACTTTTCTTTTGAAATATTATACATATTTTCAATATCATGATTTTTTTTAATCTTTGCGAAAACTAAATAATCAATTTCTCTTTCTATAGTGAAGAGAGTGCATCGTTATTCGGTATTAAAATAACCAAATTAAATATTAGGAAATAAGGATGTTATTCTACAAAACTGTTACATTCTTTATGCATATTAAATAGTACGGAGTAATATATTGCATGTTACACCACATCACATAAGAATACATCATCCATCCTATAATAATATTGAGTAATAATAGTAATTCTAGTTATAATAATAATTAATTTAATAATAATAAACATATTTAAAGTTAAAATATTAATTGATATTTAGGTGTGTGTAATCAAATAGTAGTTATTATTTAGTCCTTGAAAAAATATTAAATTGCTTTTTATTATTTTTTCCCGATCTGATCTAGTGGGATCTGATTTAATTTTAATAAGAAAAATAATTACCAGAAAAAATAAGTGATGCAGAGCGACCTTAGTATTAACTCTCCAATATCAATACATTTTTGGCACTACCAATTACAAATTCACATATTTTTGTGACACCAAATAATAAAATTAGAATTACGGAGTATTATTTATAATTTTAATTTCATAATTTGAATGATACCTACCCAACATTAATTTAAAAAAAGAAAAGTTAAGTTTTGGCGACCCAAAACTGGCAAATTTCAATAAAGTTGGGATTATTATGCATCACTGTGAAAGGTGGGATTATTTTTGAAAGACCGAGTAAAATTGGGATTATTTTGGATAATTTAAAAAAAGAAAAGTTAAGTTTATTAGGAAGTGAGTAGACAGTACTGGCTGAGTCAATAAACCCACTTTTAGGCAACACCGCTTCCGGTACCCGATCGGTGTCCACCGCTAGACGGCGACCGGAGTGTATCCCTCTGGAGATGTTCAGCCGTTGAGATCGAAAGGACGATGATGAGTTCTATTAAATTCCATCTATCCCCATCCGGGCTTAGTTCGACTTCATCCCGAGCGCTCGCCGGAGGTTTCCAATTTGTATCCCTGCGACGGCATCAGCATATCCGATTTGCGGCCCTCTCGATCGAATCCGGCAATATATCCTCTCCGGAGCAGTCCGATCAGCCTCGCCTCACCTCCAGTATTGGATCTGCTCCTGTTCTACAACCCCCTCAATCGGTCATCATCACTCCTGAGCACATTACACTCCTCACTTTCTGCGCCTGCGCAGCAGCGATTTCAACAACCTGGCTACTTTTCTCGACGACTCCAAAGCTTCTGGCCCTAAAGAGATCCTCTTCATCGCTTGAGAAGCTAATGGATGCAATGGAGGAGGAGCTTCCTGAAACAATGGCTGCAGTGCGGTTATCTGGAATGGAGATCATTGACCTGACAGCCGAGCTGAGTGAGCTCGGTCAGGATGTAACAGAAGGCGTGAAACGATCAACACGAGCTGGGCACTTGGCCGGGGAAAGGCTGCAGCAGTTGACACGGGGAGCGTCCCAAATGCAACCAAAGGCAGAAGGATCAGAATTGGCTAGAAATGTGAGGGGCATAAGGGAAGGGATTGTCAAAGGCCATTCAAGCTTGAAAATGCTTTTTACTCTTTTCCCATACTTGGTTTCGGCCTTCAACTTCTTCACACTCCAAGCTATGAGGTGGGGTTAATGGCTGTTCTTTTTTAAAATCAATTAACATGCCACTCCAGTACATTGCCTTCTTGTGTTATCACTTCCAAATGCAGGGGTTTCATTTAACAACCATCCAAACTTCATCTAACATGTTCATATCTTTATTCAGTTCGAGGATGACCATAAACACATAGGTTTAGGCACGCATAACTCATTAATAAATAAAACATACTCCGTAGTAGGTTATATGGATATCTATGCATGTATGTGTGTGTACAAGAAATTTTAATTGTGTTCTAGTTTTTGTTTCAGTTTTTCCAATTTTCGTTGGTTAAACAATTTCAGATACTACACTTGAATTGGTTAAACAATTTCAGAAACTATACTTTATTTGTTCAAACATTTTCAGTTACCACACTTTATTTGGTTAAACAAGTTTAGATCATTCACACATCGTAGCATCTCTTCAGTGTTCTTGTGCACTTTTAAATATGTCTCTTATCATTTGAATGTTGTCTGGTAACATTCCCAGTCAGTCCAACTTGTCTTTACCAATGGTGCTGCAGTTTGTAGTTGTTTCCTCCATTCTGTTTGAGCACTTCCTCCATTGCACATTGGTAACTTAGAAACACTTTATTAAGTGTTTGTTGTGCGAGCTCATCATATGTTCCTTTTAGCAGCATTGATTAACATGGTGATTGTTTTTCGTGCATTTTATTGTTAAGTGAATCAACGGATTTAGAAAATCCCACCAGGGCTAAGACATTAAGATCAGGGCCGCTAGGTGGCTGGTATACAAGCCAAATATTTCATCCATTAGCAGTTGCTTCTTGAATAAAGGCCAGGTCAGTTGTTTCTACATGTGGTCACTTTGCTTTAGTGGCAGGCAAGAGCTTATTGACCATCATGTCTTCTGTTACTGCTCGTATTATATTTAGAACCAATTTTGTTCCCGTAATCCCCACAATCCTGTTTTTACTAGTTCTCTTTGCTTGTCCTTCAAATGTGAATGCGAAGATACCTATTTTTCCATCCCATATAACTTCCCCATCAATCCCTAATACAGGCCAACCCACAAATGCTCAGAACATAAATTTTTGTACGAACTTTTATTGAACTGCTCTATACGATTACGGTTCATTAGGTAATCTGTAGTAAGTGGTTGTTTCCTTAGAATAAAACACCGCTTCTAATCTATGTGTGCATGGTTTTGGAAGTAATTGAATGTAGGGTTTGTTAGCATTGCCATTAAGTTTATATGACTAGCAAAACTGCTAATGTTTAAGCTTACCATCTTTTATCAATAGTGATTTGATTGCATTGGACTGCCTCTTTATTTGCTTTGTTTTCAACCATCTAAGCGCGGGTAGTCTTTGATACCCCTACTGAATGCTCTGTCAATATTTATGGGCAGGCCTGCATTCACTCCGTTTATCGTTTTGCTCCAAAAAGTGTGTACGGTTCACGTAGAAACGTTGAACTTCATTGCCACTTGTTTACCTATATCTTTCTGAAGAACATTCCCATTTTTGCTTTGGGCAATAAAAACTCCACAAGCCTGCTTGTTTGATTGTTATTTAGGCGTCCCTTCATGTTCATATTTTCAGTTTTGATGAGTTGAGTGTGATAGATCTCAGTACACTTAAATTTTTAAACTAATCACACTACTCAACCTTCTATAATCTTTAGATTCTTTACATTCCCTTTTCCGAAAAAAATTATAATTTCTAATTTTTATCTCCTCTCAATAGATCCCGCAAATAAACCCCTACTTTAACTTGTTCTTAAATTGTTATAGACTCCAACTGGACATGAATAGTCCAAATAGTTTCAACACTGCCACTAATTCGTCACTCAATTTTTTTTAAAAAAAATTGGTGTCAACAATGACCTATTTTAAACCAATTTACAACAACCGCACCCACTCTCAAATTCAGGTTTGATTTTGTTTCAGAAAAAGAACACGAAACACCTTCCCAATCACAACTTGACGTACAACTTGACCCCGACACCGAGCTGGTACGTAGCTAGAAAAAGCATATGAAAGAGGTGCTAGATAAAACCACGAAGTCGGGTATAACCTAGTGGATTGAGGATGAGGAGGTTGCCCTAGCCGAGCCTATATTGACACCTCCGAGGATCAAAAGATCGGTACGCTCTTTATTTGAAGTTTTTTTAAATACTTGCAGAATTTTCTTTATTACCAAAACCGTCAATGTATCATACATATAACAATATATATCACCCAAACAATTTTCTAAAGAAGAAAAAACTGTTTAAGTAAGAAATGATATAATTGATGGTGTCCTCTTCATTTATCATCTTCTTATGCAGAGTCTTGTTCCTTGCTCTCCAAATCCCAAAGACACAAGCAGCCCAAATTGCATTACTTTTCATTCTTCTTCCTCTCTCCTTGATCAGCTGTAGGGCCTCCCCCAAGATGCATTAATGAATTAGCATGATACTGCCATTCAAACCTTCCAAAAGTCTCATCATACATCCTTTGGGCAAATCCACACTTCTAAAAGAGATGGTCACCAGTTTCTGTTTCTTTATTACATAGGGTGCATGAAGTATCTATTTGAAGGAATTTTCTTAGCCTCTCTCTGGTTTGTAGTCTACCCCTCATTAACAGCCAAAAGACAACCTGGAACTTGTGAGGAGTAATTTTATTCCAAACCCAATTTCTCCATTTAGGGCTGACCTTATCTCCTTGCAACCACTCATAACCTGCCATGATGGAATATGGTTGTGTGTTACTCATACCTCTGAATAAATCCATTGCCTTGATCATCTCCCTCCAGTAATGGCAAGAATTCAGTTTTGGAATACATTTTCTTTATATTTATTGTTTAAATGTTTTACAAGTTGTTTACTTGGTTTTAAATTTTTTAAATACTTTCATAATTTTCTGTAAATTGTAAACTTTAAACGCTTTAAAATCGAATACTTAATTTTTAATACTCTTAAAACATTTTGTAGGTTAGATTGTCGAAATCAAATATTCTCAGGATGCGGGTTTAGAGTCATTTCTTCGCGGTGATGGGCTTGGGCGAGACATGCAAGCAAAGCTTTTCAAGTTCGTCAAGATGTTGAATGAGCACAACAACCAAAGAAAGAGTGGCCACACCCCACAACAACGAGGTGGTAACAAACGTCGCCTTGATGCAATATACTCGGGAAAGGAGTGCAATTACACATCTCAAGGCATTGCAACTCATGCGTACTTTCACAAAGTGGCATCCTGTGTTCAAACTCCAAGTCTCAAAATGCTCGAAGATGAATTCTTCAACCGATGTTGTTCGGTACATTCCTCCTCAAGAGTCCAAATAAATTTGAATGACAAGTGAATAATACTTCATGGCTCCCGTATGTAGCCGGCCATCCGGTCCTAACAACCATAGAAAACGTTTTATAACCTCGGGCACTAGCGACTTCGATAAAAGGTTGGACAAGATGTTAATGTGCGTGAGAAAATTTATTGACCTCCAAGAAAAACAATGCAACAACAATATGCAGTTGTCGTATACTCCAAGAGATTACTTTACCGGGTGCAAAAGAGAATATGTCGAGAAGACAAAGGAGAAAATGCAGAAGAAATGGAAGATGGACGGTAATTTGTTGGAGTGAGTGCTTGACACTAGAGAGGAGGTGAATAATATGGTCAAGAATGTTGAAAAATAATTGGGGAATAAAAATGCTAGAATTAAATAATAAGTGCGGAAATAAAAATTGAAGAACGACACAAAGATTTATATACTGGTTTCCCACAATTTGTGGCTTATTAAGTCCTTGGTTTCTCAAGATTTCACTACTTTCGTTAAGCTTAAATGTGCTTAACAAACTAGTACAATTGCTCCTAGATATTCCCTCTACAAGAGTTCACATCCATTAGACTTTTTGCCTAAGACCTCAAACACTAAGACTACAGATTTTTAGCGAATTGAAACACTTAACTAGAAGTAATGTTCTCTCTAAGAGTAGATGGAAGAGATACAAGTGAAGCACTATGAACAACAAACATTTATCTGTTAATTTGAACAATTAATGCAATTTATATTTTTTTTAAAGATGTTATGATAATAGCAATATAAAAGGTGAAGAGTTGTTCGTGAAAAATAGACTGAAAACTCCCTATTTATACCTAAGAAGTTACACTAGTCATTGGGAAAGGATTGAGTTTGATTGGATTTAATATATGCAATCAAATCAAAAGATGGTCTGAATTTAAAAATGCAAAAAGTCAATCACGCAAAGACAACATTGGTGTTACCGGGATTGACTTTTCATTTGGAAAGCCAAACTAGACATTAGAATGACTGACGGTCAAGAAAAAATTGATTGCTAAATCCAAAATTTATTAAAATCTACACTTGAAAATCATAGTATCAATATCAAAAGACATATCAATGACTTGTACATAGTTTAGTTAGTTTTAGTTGTATTTCAAGTGTTCTTTTAGTTTAGTCTAATTGGTTTACATTTTTAAAATTGCAGTCTAGTTTTTTTATTTTTAGTTACATTTTTTCGTAATAAATTTTTTTTCTTGAATCTAAGTTTAGTTTTAAATTGTAAATCTATAATTTAAAAGTAAATTACCAAATGAATATTAAAAAAATTATTATTCAATAACGTGATCAAGACTCATGAAGCTTTCGCCATAAGACCCTCTCAAATAAGACGGGATGGTGGGAGTGCACTGCCACGTGTCACTTATAGATGTCGCTTTTGCTTAGAGAAAATTTGTGAGGCACATATTTATATCTTGGACGGGACCATGCTACAATTACACCAAAAAATATATCTCACTTGTACACTACAGTTTTGTATAAACATTTTGATGTTTTATATCGACACAAGTGTTGGTGTGTTAACAAAAATTTACACAGACACAAATGTTGGTGCGTTGACAAATAATTTGGGACGGAGGTAGTAATTTTTAACAGCTAACAGAAACAGCCGGTCAAAACAGCTAACTCAATCAGTCATTCAAACTAGCCAACATAAAGAGCCAACTGCCCATTGTCATGTTCCAAACAAGGCCATGGTGGGATTGTGGCAAGGAAGACTGAAAACTTAAATGATAACATTACTTTGGAGAGAGAGAGTATTTATGTTGAGATTATTCAAATAAATGTTTCTATATTTTAAAAAAGAAAATAATTTTTAATAACAAAATGCAAAACTAATATTCAAATCATAATCTGCTATCAGAGGTTATAATGAAAGTCATGAGATTGTTTTTAAAAGAGTGTTTTTTTGGTACGAGGATATACCCCACCAAGAATGAACTTCAACTCTAGAAGACAAGTATATTTTGGACATGCTCATATATAGATGATGGTTTCACAGGTACCAAGCCTACCAAATTTCATCTACCCCTAAATATGAAGCTCTCATTGATTTTTGGACAAAAACTTTCTGATCTTAAACATTATAGGCGTCTGAATTGGAGACTTCTTAACATTGTCATACAAGACCATATTCAAATGTGTGGGGGATTGAGATACAATCGCCTGATCTGATCTGATGTAGTCTGATATGTTCTGATCTAATTTGATTGCAGTTATAATTAATGTTGTTTTTTATATGATCTGATTTTATTATAATAAGAATAAGTAACAAGTAGAAAAAATAAGTTGAACGGAATGCTGACTTAGTCCTGTAATAGAATAACAAAATAGAGAAAGTTGTTGAGATATTTTTCTAATCTTCATATTTCGAATGATCTTTGTATCATGCTTTTTTTACATTTTCATTGATTATTATTTAATTAAATAAAATAATCGAATCATTACGTTTGGTAAAATATTTCATACATTACATGGTATATGAATGTATAATTTTTAAATTTCTAAACCAAATACTCTGTTTTTTGGGACGGAGGGGTAACATTAAAACTGGTTTATTATGATTTTAACATTATTTGTATTAGATTTTACTATATTAATTGGCAAGGAAGATATGGCACGGCAAATGGCACATATAGAAGAGGGATTTTCCCAAATTTGAAACTTTGCCGTGGAGCTCAAAATTATTGTTAGTATCCAAAGTATGTATTGGTGAATAATGAGTGGGCCGGGCCGGGCATGATTCAATAATCATGCAATGGTTTTCGGAATTGAAAGGCAACACGATCTCTTGTCAACCATATTATTGTTATTGTTCCTTAATAAATACGGAGCACGCTTTCTATTTGACCACGAACCCGATACGCATGCATACAAGGACAACAACAAGCTAAGGCCAACAAATCCACATATACTATCATCTCATATTTTATTTTATTTTATGACTCTTCCAAATGAAAGATAAGCCGTCACAACTTCAAACCTTAGATGAGCATTGATTCTTTGTGTTTTAATAGGTTCAAAAAAAATATAAACGAACGAAAGATATTGCAGATCGAAATAGATTATAGTATGGTCAATAATATAAAAAAAAAGATTCAATTCGAATAAATTACTCCTTGTATCTCTAAATCAAACTTATTTAATACAAAATTTATAAACATGATTTTTTAAGGTAACTATTACGATGTTTAATTATAATTTTGTTATCTGTATTACTATAATGTTAATTGTTGTTTTAAAGAAAATAGTTTATACTCCCTCCGCTCCTAAATGATTTACACACTTCACTATTCAAAAATTACGAGAACTTTTATTTATTTGTGTGTTTTCATTAATTATTTGATGAAATTAAATATTTTTGTCACCTCTTGTTTTGTGGAACTTTTGATATACTTATTAAATATGCAAGTATTATTTATTATTTATATTTATATATAGGGGAAGGCGACGATCAGCGACGACAAGGATGGAGTAGCGGCGGCGAAATAGGAGATTTTTTTTAAAAAAATGCGCAAGATAACGTACCAGAGGTTACATTTAACAGTCTATTTTACATCGGTTATAACTAAAAACCGATGCAAAAGGGTATTTGCATCGGTTATTAGGTATAACCGATGTAAAAGAGTTTTAGTATTTAAATCGGTTATACCAAATAACTGATGCAAATACCCTTTTGCATTGGTTATTAGCTATAACCAATTTAAATACTAAACGGTTGGCGAATTTTATGAACTATTAAATCATTTATTTCACTAACCGATGCAAATAGGGCAATTTATTTGTTCATTTTTGTAGTAGTTCATCAATCTTTAAATAAAATGAATTGAAAAAAAATGAAATTATACTTCATTTTGCTTAAAGAGTAATTTATTAAGGAGCAAAGGGGGTATAATTCAAGTTGTTAGGATCTCCCGTCCATGAGGGATATCAAATCCTCGGGAACGGTCTTGAAAACAAATTAAAGCACGACCTCGATTACGAATCATGGTTCGAAAATCAGACCAAAAAGAGAACCAAATATAGTTAGTGTAGCCGAATAGCTCAATTTATTTTTTTTAGCGATCGTCTAATCGGGTGTGAGTGAATCTTCCGGGATGAGATTTATCTTATTGAATAGATAATTTTTGTCAACTTGAATTTCCAAAAAAAAAAGATAGTAGTGGACAAAGAAAAATGTTGGAAAGATTGAGAAGCATGCATCGAATAAATTCATCTCTGTCCATATCAGGCTCGATCACATTATTATTGGCTAATTAATTCAGAAGTCACAAACCCCAAAATTGGGATTCTCCTTGATTGAATTGTCCCATCGCATGCATGTTGGGCTACTATTGTAAAGTCCAATCGTAATAATAATACGAGTACGTGCTCGAGTGGTACGTACGTTCTTCGATCATCAGAGACGTATGTGATTAATTAATGGATGTGTCTGCCTTGCCTTTTTCATAGATTCGAGTAGAAGAAAAGAAACTCTCACCTTCTTCAATTCTCATGCGCCATATATGGCCCATGGCCACTTATGTCGCCGTTGGCTGTTAACGACATTGGAGAGAACTCTCATACTGTCGTTGCTAGAAATTAACCTTCAAACCTCGGGCTTATCAATCATCCAACACGACCATCTAGTGACCTACCCGTGCGAACACTACTCCCTCCTCTTAGGGTCTGTTCTGTTCAACTTATTTTTTTGCTTATTACTTTTTATCAAAATCAGATCAGAAATAGTAGCATTAAATAAAATCCTCTCCAAAAATGATTGTTCCCCAACAACAGATTCGAAAACTCTTCTAGGGAAATGGCGCCAGTTCCGGGGAAGGCTTTTCAAAAGTCTTCCCCAGAAGTGGCAGAAGTTCTAGAGAAGGATTTTTGAATCGGTTGTATCAAGATAACCGATTCAAAAAGTCTTACCTAGATATGGTGCCAGTTCTGGAGAAGGGTTTTTGAATCGGTTGTTCCCAAAAAAAACGATTCAAATAATATATACTCCATTCGTTTGCAAAAAAATTTCCTAGTTTGACTTGGAGCCAAAATAAGGAAGTATTAAATTATAGTTGACTTCCAATTTTTCCCCTGATGTCATGGGTAAAAGTAAGATGTGATGGATAGATTATTAGAGAAAAAGTATGATGTGATAGGTAGAGTTTGAAAAAGTAAGGTTAAAAGTGGTTTTTTAATAGAAAGTGGAAGTGTTTTGTTGGAAGTGGAAAAAATGAAAGAGGAAGTGTTTTTGAGAACGGAGAGAGTATTTTTATAGCAGCAGA